AACACAGACTATATCTGAAGTGTTTGGAAGTCATTTGCGTTTTCCTCCTGTTGAAAAACGTCATAAGAACAATGTTTAGTGGCTCAATGTATTACAGCAGTGTTTTTAAAAGTCTAAACACTTTATTGATATAGTATACAGCCAAGCACAAGTGGTCAGAATACAAACGAGTCGCAGGTGATAAAGTATTAAGCGTTCTCCCAAAGTAAAGTGTGTCTGAACCAGGTCCAAGCTAAATGCTAGCAGGTGTCTGTAGCTCCGCTCACTCTCCGCCTCTTTGCCCTTGTTTGGTATCCGCCGTGGGTGTGATGACGCGCGAACAAAATGGCGACGGTTGGCCGCGCCTACTTGTGGCTTCTTTTGCGCTCTTTAGAAACCTATGGGTGACGTCACGGATACTACGTCCATATATTTTACAGTCTATGGACGCGACGCCCTCGCCGTGGCTGACGCCGGCACGCACCTCTCAAAAAATTTAACTACACGTCGCACTGACACGTAGTGCAAGCTATGCAATTGGTTGGCTTGGTAGCAGTGACAAGAGTGGGCTTTGGAGCCCAATGGAGCAAGTGTTTACAAATGTCGAGTCCTGTGAAGAAGCTCCAGATGGAAACTTTTGTTTTGTATTACGCTTAGGGTTCATACGTCATGAAAAACCTGGAAAAGTCATGGAATTTTGACATGGCATTTTCCAGGCTTGGAAAAGTTTTAGAAAAACCCATGAGGTTTTGGAAAAGCCATGGAAATTACATTTACATTTTGGCATTTAGCAGATGCTTTTGCCCAAAGCGACTTAAGCTGCGGGTCATACTAGAGCTTGTGCTTGCCAAAATCTGTCGTACGATGCTCCGAAAAGAGGCGGGGTTTAACAACATGATTAGACGGTGTTAAAAGTGAGTGATTGCCCCATATTTTAACATTCTTATTTTAAACGATCTTCTATTGGTCTAACACAATCACCTGAGGTGATTTAGCAGGTAAGATCTCCCCAAGCTTAAACTTTGCCAGATTGAGCAAGTTTTAGCTACTTGTAGCGTTCAGAAAAAAACAAAACACCCACAAAGAAACTGGAGAGAATTATATAAAAACCGACTGCTAACTAGCATTTCGGAAGTGTTATTGCATAGCAACATAAAGAGCACACAGAAGTATAAATGCACAACTACGCGCAAGGCACGCACCGTGGGTCACGCCGATCACTCGACGCAGAAGTATAAATCAGCCTATAAGTGCAAAAGAAGCAATGGAAAAATCTCCTTTGCCTATTTGTGATCTGACCAACCAAAAAGGGGCATGTGATCCAACATAAGTACAAATGCAATGTCACATCTGTAATCGCTACTTGCCCCAAAATGGAATTACAGAACCATAAAAAAATGTTTAAGATTGCATATGCAATCCACATAAGCCATCGCAAAACTATTCACAAAGTCGCAAAAATATAGTGTTCGCATTTTCAGTTTATTCTATAACACACGTCATGATGTTGCCAAGTACGATGCCATACTGGATTATCATCAGTGTTGATCCTGGAACATCATTCTTGTTGGAAAATGTACTCCTATTCCCTACCTACTAAACCCAATCATAACTGTAAATTATTCCCAAAAATCATAGGGGTATAACAATTATGTAAAAGTGCATAAACCTAACCGTAAGCCTAAGCTTAACAAAAACAGTATCCCTTAATTCTGATTGGCTGATCGGAATGTTGTTCCAGGATCAACACAGATGCGAATCCAGAAACATGTCCTACTTGGTGAAATCAGGTTGGCGTTCTGCAATGCCGATTGTTTACTGCGATTGTTTACTGCGACTTCCTATTTCTTTGCTTATGTGGGAATTGACTCGGAATACCAACAGATAAACTAATTGCTCTACAAATAATATCATAAAAATACTAGTTTGCAACCTTGAGCAGCATAAAAAGCTGTTTTTTTATGACTAGAAAATCAATAGACGAGACAAGTCTCGAGACTTGTAATAGATTAGATTCCAACGGCTTCGCCCACTCTTAGTTTGATAAAATATTTATAGTCAAAATTATGAGCAAAACCAGCGATTAATCAAGATGCATGACATGACCATGTGTAAAGTCTCTCTGTTACTCTGTAAATACATTTAAATTTGACATTTTGACCACAATTTGTTTTAGAGTAAGTTCTCTACGATCACAAAACAACCTCATATTGGCATTGTAGAATATACTTTAACACTCTGATCATCTGAACTGCTATAGAAAATGCCAGAAATAGCAAAGAAACACACAAAACCTCTTTAAATATGGAACACACTATTGTGCCACATTGTCAAATTCAGTCCATGGCTTATTCGAGTGGTTTCGCCATCACTTATACCAACACCGGCTCATCGGACAGATTGTGAATCGAGGAAGACAATTGGTGATGCACAGTGTGTTCCTTCAAAATACCCCCACCCACCCCCAACCCGGTACTTCCTGTACCCGAGACATTAGCTCACTTCTCGGACACATTGCTTGTTGTTTTTTGCGAGCAGGTGCTCTCGATTAGGAGCTGACTAATAAAAAATGTGTGTCTGTGAAAGACAATAACATTGCGTTGTTCCCAAGTGGGCACAGACATGTAAAATCTGCTCTAGTTTCATGCCACTTCTCTACCCACGACCAAGCTGCTCGCACATCAGATCCAAAAAGAATGCTATATAAAACGGAGGGCAACTAAAATAAATGGTTATCGCTTTAGAAAAGGCATTGAATAAATATATCAAGGGATGAACTCCATGTGTCCACTGTTGAAATAACGGTGGAAATCAATGTAAATGAGCAGTGTTCAGCGTGCCAAAGCGGACTTACAGACAAGGCACAATGTCTTTAAGGGGCACAGTCATGATGCCCCTCCACAGTACTACTGCATTGAGCTAAACCAAAACCAAACACCATGCTAATTGTACATTTTTCCACCGTATAATAAAACATTCTAGAGTCAATGCAAAGCAGTGACAAAAAGCATCATTATACCAAGCATTCTGCTAACAAAAAAGTACCATAATATCATATGTAAAGGACATACAGTGGACTGACTTCTGGACATGAAGTAATCATGTGGCAAATACATTTGACTAGTCTATAAAAGCATGGTTCTGCTTTAAAGCTAAAAAATGGTAGTTGTGAGATTAAAATGTGAAATACAAAGGTGCAACTGCAAAACAGAAATTTTGCATGACACAGTTTAAGAGTCACAAATGTGGGATATAAAGTCATAACTTATTTACTCTGAGGGTAAATATGCCCTAATAATATTCACTAAAGGTGGGCAACAGGTACCAAGTTCCATTAATTGGGAGGTTGTGAGCCTTTGCATATGAAAAAATAAGCAACAGGCTAAAAATGCGCCATGTGTCCTTCTTGAATATTTTATTTAATTTTCATCCGCTTTTCCGAGGCCGGGTCAGCAGTCTTAGGAGAGAACCCCAGACTTCCCTCTCCCCTCTCCCTTCCTTCAGCTCCTTTGGGGGGATCCCGAGACATTCCCAGGCCAGCCGAGAGACATAGTCCCTCCAGCATGTCCTGGGTCTTCAACCTGCCTAGGTAGGTGTGCAGGAGGCATCCGAAACAGGTGCCCGAGCCACCTCAGCTGACTTCTCTCAATGTGGAGGAGCAGCAGCTCTACTCCGAGCTCCTCCAGAGTGACAGAGCTCCTTACCCTATCTATAAGAGTGCGCTCTGCCACCCTGTGAAGGAAACTCATTTCAGCCGCTTGTATCCGAGATCTTGTCCTTTTGGTCATGACCCAAAGCTCATGACCGTAGGTGAGAGTTGGAACGTAGATTGAGCGGTAAATTGAGAACTTTGCCTTTCGGCTCAGCTCCTTTTTTACCACAAAGGACCAATACATTGACCGCATTACTGCTGCCGCTGCACCCATCCGCCTGTCAATCTCACGTTCCATCCTTCTCTCCCTCGTGAACAAAACCCTAGCATACTTGAACTCCTCTACCTGCGGTAAGGTTAAAGATGGCAAATCATCTTTTTCTGGTGGAGCACCATGGCCTCGGACTTGCTGATTCTCATCCCAGCTGTGTCACACTCGGCAGCAAACCTCCCCAGTGCATGCTGAAGGTCCATGTTCGATGAAGCCAACCGAACAACATCGTCTGTGAATAACAGAGAAGAAATCCTGTGGTCACCGAACTGGACCCCCTCCAGTCTAATGCTGCACTTTGAAATTCTTAAATATTTCATTCTCCAAATTTCGGTTTCTTCTATTTTGTCTCTTAGATGAGTGTTATGTTCCTCTTAAAAAAAAATCCAAACGCTTTAACTGGTTAAACATTACTTTGGAAGACAAGGGCTTAGAGAAAACCTAAAAATCTCGTATCCCACAAAACCTTCAGAAAACATTCATGTTGATTTGAAATGAACAAAATTAGATGAATGGAAAGTGGTTGGGCAGATGTACACAATGTCACAAAAACTATGCTGATAAAGCCAGCTCAGTGTAAAAGTATGGTAAAGCCTGGATACAAGCTTAAACCATTGGTTTAGACACATTAGAAACCTAAAAGTAGATGTCAGGTAGTTTCTGTTGCAGATCCATGCTCCATTGAACTGTGAATAAGATATGTACAACATTTTCTGTGGAATAAACAAAAAAGTGGCTTTTTCCCACAGAGAAAAATAAAATGGATCTCATTACATGCAACCTAAATGTGTTAAGGCAAAAATATCAGTGAAACCCCAATATCAAACAATAAACCTAAGTGAAGCCTTATAGGGAGTCTCGCCAGATCTACCGTCTTAACATTGGGATTAAGATGCTGCAAGCCTTTTCTAATAAATACGACTGAAATCTTAATCCAAAAAGTTTCATTCTAAATTCTGAAAGGATCGATTGCATCTTCTTCCAGTGTGCAGTGTCAGATCCAATCTCACAGCAGATGAGCACAAAGAGATGCGTTAATATGCTACAAACACACTTCACTGTTAAACAGCACAGTCGAACCAATAAAAGCACCCGACAGACATTTCTGAGCTAAGTGTTAGACAATCCACACAGAACACATGAAATTGAAGTCACTTCAACGTAAGACACACAGCGTATTACGTTCATTCGAAGAGGACGGATGAACCGTTGAGAGAGATCATCTCCTGTAGTAGGCAACGGCAACAAAGCTATCTCATACTCAGATGTGTTCAGAGTTCGTATTCCTGCCTGGCACCAGTGTTTCACATATTACACTTGGTGAAAAGGTCAAAACAGGAAATGGTGGATAACATGATGAAAAAAAGCCAAATATAATGTCGAGATTGCAAGAAATTAGGCCTGATCCCAAAGAATCAAATTGCACCTCTTATGACTCAAGATGACTTTCCTATAAAGGCCTTACACGAAAGCTATCTGATCAAAAACATCCTCTTTTGTTGCCTACTGATAAAAAGAGCCAAAGAAGAAAAGGAATAGAGTACAGTAGTGAGTGGGAGGGAGGTGTTAAGACTGCCCTAGTTATTATAAATCGTTCTTCCTACTCTGTGGAAATGGGTAGGCAGGTGAGGAAAGAAAAGACTCAAACATTCAGATTGATGTTATGAAGCTAATTTGTTTGAAAATGCCTCCTATAAAAAACGTGTCTTCAAAGAGTGCTAGCGGTAAACCTTTTACCTCATAACTGAAAAAACGACTGCAAGGATTCCTTGGTATTCTTTTCTATGGCCTTTCTACCTAAGTGGATTTCAAGTCATTTTTTTGTTGCTCGTTTCTTTGATAATACTCGAAATTCATGTACAAGTTCGTGTTGAGAATGAGACGAGGATTTTCTGGCGTTTCGCCAATCGGTGGTTCCTCTATCTCTCCTGGAGAAGAGAAAGTAATGGTTTCAATGATGATTCCTCAAAACGCCAAGATTCACCTGGTTAGCATAAGGCCAGAAAGTTTTGTCCGTTGGGCTCATGCTAAAAAAATTGCAATATTTGTTGTAAAGTTCTGTCCGGACTGGGAGGGAAGAGGATACTCCCTTGACTCCTGTTGCCGTTCTGGGACAAGGTTGTTCAGAAAACAGGCACTGGTCAAACCTCAGCATAGTAGCCCTCACGTGTGTTCTCAAGCGTTTGGGGTCCATGGCGGCCCCTGGTCCGTCATACCCACTCCTGCACGGGGTGTTTGTAGTAGGTCACGTGCTGCTGGACGTTTTTATTCTTGAACTGGAAGATAGTATATACAAGGACCAGAATGCACAGTGAAAGGATGCATGGGATGACCACAGCGATTGCGTTTACAGTGCTGGGCACATCATTTATGGCAACCATGATGTCGACGTCATCGTGAGGAAGGTGACGGTCCTTGTTCTTTTCTACTTCCGACTGATCGCAGCCCATCCAGTCTTTGAGGATTGATTTGGGGTAGCCTGGCTCCACCGTTAGCTTCTGGTTATCGAACTTCCAGTAATCCTTTCCCTTGTAAAAGTAGGTATAAACTAGAAGAAAATGACAAAAGAGACAAAAGAAGACATCAGTACATTTCCATGAGCAGAACTCATCTGCTAGTGCAACGTTTGGGTTACAGAAGTAAAAACCTTTATTTCTTCAATAGGAAAATATATTTTTAGTCTAAATTCATAATTTAGGAAAAAAAGGAATTTATTTTTATTATTTTTGTGTCTTTATTTTTTATTAGAAAAATGTTTAGACTAACAACAGATCAATCTTTTCTATTGTATTATAACACATCTTGACCGGACACACTTCCTCTTTTTACTGTGCTGCATACTTTTTAGAAGAACTGCTGACTAGTGGAAAAAGCAGAATAAGAATAAATTTAGGTTTGTTCCAGGCTGCTGTCTGGACATGTCACAAGGAGCATGATCTTTGTAGAAGTTATGAAATATGTTAAAGATGCACGTAATTGTTCAGTTCTGGTATGCAGAGAAGGATTGCAGGAAGAGGAAGTATGTCTAGGGGTTACAAAGAGCCAAGGGACTGCAGAATGACTGATCAGTGACGTTAAGCCAAAACGCCACATGTCATTATCAGTTGTGTATATATGCTGGAGTCAGGAAATGTAAGTTAGTTGCGAACCTCTTGAATGTAATTCTTGTATTGCATGGGGGTAACGTAACCCAGGGCTCTGTCATCAAATTAATCATTAGTATCTAATAAATTACTAATATTTTTGGCATTAAAGAAAACACTCTCCAGACCTTTTCTTACTGAACACGCATGGAATTGGCATGATATTCCAACAATAACAATACTAGTAATTTAAACCAGTGGTCCTCAACTACCAGGCCATGGACCGTTACCGCTCTGTGGATCAATGGGTACTGGGCCGCACAAGAAATCATGAATTATTTCCGTTTTATTTATCTGACCGATCTTTTATTTTGAAAAATGGTTTATTTGGAAGCATGACCGTATTCTCTCAGTTAAATCTGGGTCACTTAAGCAGCAAAATGAGTAGGAAACTGACGTCTTTGGAAAGTTTCTTTGCTAAGGGAAAAAGGCCCAGTGAAGAACCAGCGAACTGTCTAGGAATAGATCCGCAACCCATTTGTCAACAGTTTAGGTGAATCCACCATGTCTGTGCAAGAAGATCAACTGCTGGAGATTGCAAGTGACCAGCAACCTTCTTGCTGTGGGGGCCAGAGGGCTCCTTTTAGGGGCCGTGCGCATATTGTGTATCGCGATTTTTTAATGGAGGTGCACGGCTTGCACACAGTTGAATGAATGCCGGGAGCGCACCGCGAATCACGTGACAAGAACTGACCAATCAGCTTCAGCTTGTTTGGAATCGACTCATTTTGGTGGACACATTACTTCAAACAAACACAGAACACCCAAACACCCAACACTGCAGTGCTTTGTAATTTCTCCATAAATAAAACCTGCATCAGAGTGACAGCAATGTTTTGTCAGCAAGCATTGACCGGTTCGCTGTTATACAAAGTATGAGCATCAATACTTTAAACCATTTAAGACCATTAAACGAAAGCATCAGTTGGCTTTTCATCATTCATTTGTTTTTCTTCGACTTAGTCCCTTATTTATTAGGGGTCGCCACAACGGAGTGAACCACCAGCTATTCCAGCATATGTTTTAAGCAGCCAATGCCCTTCCAGCTGTAACCCAGTACTGGGAAACAGTTGGCTTTTCTATTTGCAAAACAACTGTTTAAATATTTAGTTTGTAGGGGTATCACAGTGGCGCAATGGGTAGCGCAATCGCCTCACAGCAACTGGCTCAAGCATTGGCTAAATCACTTAGCATTTCTACACAAGTCCAAAGACATGTGCTGCAGGTGAATTGGGCAAGCTAAATTATTCGTAGTGTGTGTGTTTGTAAATGAGTGTGTATGGACGTTTCCCAGTGATGGGTTGCAGCTGCAAAGGTATCCGCTGCATAAAACATGTGCTAGATAAGTTGGCGGTTTATTCCGCAGTGGCGTCCCCAGATTAATAAAGTGACTAAGCTGAAAAAGAAATTAGATTAATAAACGAATTGAGTTTGTGCTGAAAACTACATTACCCATAATGCTAAGCTACACAGAAGATTCCACCAATCTGAGAGTTGAAGTATTGCTCACTACCATAAAGCACTGCATATTTTAAGTAAATAATTTTATCATTGAGATAAAATAATTGTATCATATATATATACACACATGCTTTGTACCGCTCCTGGTATTGGAGGCATTGGAAAAAATGTCTGTATGATTTGGTATTTTGTTACACTTTTAGAAAATGGACTTGAAATATGGAGTCTGAAATAAAGAAATGTCTGTAAATATAATAGTATATAAAATAATACGTTGTAACTGACTGACTAATTTATCGATTGCAATGAGTCAATGAGCTAAAGCTGTAAACTTCAACAGTTGTAAACATGAACATACCAATTGTAGAGAGCTGTTCAAAACAAGCAGATATTTACGAGCAGGCAGAAATGCGTGTCCTTTTCAGAAAGCTCGATTCATATTCATGATCACATAAATAGCTGTCCTTGTGAACACTCAATGACACAGTATTTGGGAAAGTTGTTCCAGTGTTACACAATCCCTCTGAGAGCTGTCAGTTTGATTGCCAATGCTTCATAAACAAACACATGCGAGAGACTCACAAACCGGATCCAGATATAAGCACTAAAGACAAATACAGTGAAGAAGAGGCTTTAGCAGCCCCTGAGAGTGTGATTGATGAAGCGCTCATCCTTCCTCTCGCACTTTCTCCATTCTTACTTGCGATCTTGTCAAGCACAACATGCCAAATCCCACTTGTAAAATGTGAGTGACAGAAAAATGATGAACAAATAGTCTGTATAACCCTCTTGGCTTCTCCATCTTGTGTCCTGGCCTCAGGCTCCATGTTGAGGTTATGACACGACTATAGGATAGTACTCTACAGAGAAATGAAGAGAAATGAGCAATTCTATGCAGTTACAGCTGATATACTTGATTTGTGTATGACATTTGAGTATTTACCAGTCAACCAGGGGTGTGTTTCCCTCTCTCACAGAGCGATGTCAGCCATGATTTGGCTGTCTGAGACGAGTTTGGGAAATTATAAAAGATTCCAGAACTCCTACACTAAAATCTGTGTGATAAGTTACATGTTCACAGACATGTAAAGAAAGGTAGCTAGTATAATTTATATTACAAAAAGAAATCCGTTATGTTTCTGAAGATTGGGAAAGAAAAAACGTATACATTATGGTACATGCATACACATGCTTTACAGTCTGAGTTTTCAAGAGTTCACACTTAGCTGATGATTGATAATAAAGCTTGTTTGGCGTGCTGTCCCGGGAGAGAGCCCTGAGCTTATAAGATCCTCGAGCCCTGGGCTCCCTCCCGTTGCAAGGCGAGAGGGGAGTTTGAGCTCAGGTAGATCTCGATGACTCCCCCTCCTGCTTATTGTAGCTAAGTGTCGGATATGGATGCTGAGAAGGTGTACTCAGAGTTTGGCTAAAATATTTTGGATTAATTGTTTAGAGTGCTTGTTTTTGAACTGTGGGAGGAAACCGGACGACCCGAGGAAAACCCACGCGATAATGGCGAGAACGAGCAAAAACTCTGCACAGAAATGTCGCCTGGTTTGGAAGAGAATTAAACCAGGGGCGTTCTTGCTGTGAGGCAACAGCGCTAATCACTGGCCACCGTGTCGCCAGTTTGAAAGGAGGGGAAAGTAGGGTTGGGTGGGGGTTTTTGTCAAGACAAAGATATTGAAATGAGAAAAGTCTGGTTATTTATAGTGGGTTAAGGATCATCTGATAGGATAATTAGTCATTAACTAAAGCTGGAACAGCTGTGAACAATCATAAGCACGTGATCCTCTCGAAATTTGTTTAAAAATAAACTTCACTTATTCCTTGTGGTGCTCTGCCAGGCGTCTACAGAAACTGTCTTCAGTATTTGCTTGTTTTTGTGGCATTTCCCTTCAGTTTTGTCTTTAGCAAGTGAAATGCATGCTCAATGGGATTCAGGTCAGGTGATTGACTTGGCCATGTCATAACATTCCAATTCTTTCCCTTTAAAAAATCGTTGGTTGCTTTTGTAGTATGCTTTGGGTCATTCTCCATCTGCACTGTATAGTGCCATCTAATGAGTTCTGTAAAATTTGGCTTAATATTAGCAGAAAAATTGCCTGAAACACTTCAGAATTCATCCTGCTGTTTTGTCAGCAGTCACATCATCAATAAATAAAGGAGAACAATAAATACAAGTTTCATTGGCAGCCATACATGCCCATGCCTTGCCATTACTACCACCATTCTTCACTGCTTAGGATCATAAGCAGTTCCTTTCCTTCTCCATGCTGTTCTCTTCCCATCATTCTGGTACAAGTTGATCTTGGTCTCATCTGTCCGGAGGATGTTGTTCCAGCACTGTGGAGGCTTCTTTAGTACTCTAATCTGGCCTTACTGTTGAGGCTAACCAATGGTTTACATCTTGTGGTGAACCCTCTGTATTCACTCTGTTGTAGTCTTCTCTTGATTGTTGACTTTGACTCATATACGCCTAACTCCTGCCGAGTGTTCTTGATCTGTCCAACTGTTGTGATAGGTGTTTTCTGGACCAGGGAAAGAATTCTTTGGTCGTCCACCACAGATGTTTTCATGGTCTCCTGCGTCTAATGGTGTTGCTGAGATCACCTGTGCGTTCTTTCTTTTTAAGAATGATCCAAACAGTTGTTTTGGCAACACCTGATGTTTTTGCTATCTCTCTGATTAGTTTGTTTTGTGTTTTTAGTCTAATCATGGCTTGCTTGACTAATAGTGGCCGCTCTTTGTATCACATCTTGAGAGTTGACAGTATCAGATTCCAAATGCAAATAGCACACTTGAAATGAACTCTGGACCTTTTATCTGCTCATTGTATTTGGGATAATGAGGGAATAAAACACACCTGGCCATGGAACACCTGAGAAGACAATTGTCCAATTACATTTGGACCCTTAACAAGTGGGAGGCACATAAACTGTTGTAATTCCTACACTGTTCACCTGATTTGGATTTAAACACCCACAAATTAAAGCTGACAGTCTGCAGTTAAAGCACATCTTGATCGTTTCATTCCAAATCCATTGTGTTGGTGTACAGAGCCAAAAATGTCAGAATTGTTTCAATGTCCAAATATTTACGAACCTAACTGTATGTGACATTTCTGCAGTGTTGAATATAATGTCAACAACTGTAAAATAAAACAAAAACATTAAACTTTCAAAAATGTAAAATGTAATTACTGAAACCAAAAGTAATTTTATAAATCATTAATTATCAGTATTTGTGTGTGATGTCTGAGCACCAGCAGTAACAGAGCAGCAAATCAGCATATTAGACTGATTTTTGAAGACAGAAGACTGGAATAACGACGATAAAAAATTCTGTGTTAAATCACAGGAATAAATTACATATTAAAATGTATTTACATAGAAAATGGTTATTTTAAATTGTTAAACAAATCAACACAGCAATGGAGAGCATAATAGATTTCTTTCAAAAATATTAAATCAAGTTTTCATGTGAGATCAATACATAGTGAATTCCACCAAAACCCTATTCATTCATTCATTTTCCTTTGGTTTACTCTATTATAGAGGTCGCCACAGCGAATGAAGCGCCAACTTATCTAGCATATGTTTTACACAGCGGATGCCTTTCTAGCTGCAACCCATTACTGGGAAACACCCAAACACTCTCTTAATCTCACACACTACAGCCAATTTATATTATTAATCACCTATAGCGCATGTCTTTGTACTGTGGGGGCAATCGGAGCACCTGGAGGAAACTTACGCTAACACGGGGAGAACATGCAAACTCCACACAGAAATGCCAACTTGCCCAGTTGTTGTATGTGTTGCATATAATACAGCAGTGACATTGTCAGAAAAGCTGTCTCTCTACAGTAAACATTCCATCAGTATCTGGAATCACTCAGCTGCCATTTCACTACATTTGTAATCTTGCATCGATTGTGACTGAATTTTAATACCCAAAAGTTGTGTCTGTCTTTTCCTCCAGACACTGTGCCAATCCAAAGCTGCTATCAGATCACCAAAGAGGAAGAGTCAGAGCCAAAACACTCACTGTCAACACTATAATATTGCAGAGGCAGCGCCAAACAAACACTAATCAATTACTCTACAAGGCTACAAAGACTTTCATGCGTTTATTACTACTGCCTACTCAAAGAAACACATACTGTAAGCATGCTGCAGCAAAAGAAACGCTGTCAAAACAGTAGCAAAACACAGCAATGCTCTATACAAACACTGAATGTAGGAATAACTGATGACATGCCATTGAATTATGAGAAAATAATGCACAACTGGTGATGCTGTTACAATACTTTGTAATAATGCAATGGACCCGAGTCAATTATTCCACTTATACTACAGTTACCACACCTCAAAGACATTTATCAGGGTTTGTCCTTAAACAGCTCCTGTGTATAGGACTAGTTTCTTACAAATCTCATTTAAAGCCTTTTGTTTTTTTTGTTTTTTTTTTGGTAGGAGCTCAAACGTGCTGCATGTTAAAAAAACACTTAATTTATTCTCTCCATTTTCATTTTGCAAGTCTCCTAGTGTTAAACAGTTTTAAACTGTTGAGTTTTACCATTTTTAAGTCCATTCAGACAATCTCCAGGTCTGACGGAAGCATTTTAGCTTAGCTTAGCATCAATCATTGAATTGGATTAGACCATTAGCATCTAAAAAAAATTCAATAGTTTTGATCATTTTCCGATTTAAAGCTTGACTCTTCTATAGTTAGATTGTGTACTAAGAAGGATGAAAAATGAATGGATTCTGTTTTTTAGGTTGATATGACTAGGAACTATAATCTCAATCTGGCGTAATAATCAAAGAAATTTGCTGCCGTACCATGGCTGCAGCAGGTGCAATGATATACACAGCATTGTTACCTAATTTTATTAAATGGGGACTATTTTTAGGTGCTGCTGAAAGGTTTATTTTGCAACAACAACCTCCTGGATGTACACAAAACCTTGTTCTGAGTCGTTCTATATTGGATTACTTCTATGATAAAATGCAAAGCAGAAATGAAAACGGCTGAAAGAAGGCTGAAAGAAGCATACGCTATGTATTTTTCAGTTACAAGATGGCGCCAAACACTCAAAAACAACGAACTGACAGACAAGCATATAAATATGGATGTGAACGTATGATTAAAAGTACCTGGTGTTATTAGTTTCAGTGGTTGTTATCTGGGAATAACATACCTTAGAACAGTGTTTCTCAACCACATTCCTGGAGGACCACCAGCTCTGCACATTTTTTCATGTCTCCTTAACAAAACACAGCTGATTAAGATCATCAGCTCATTAGCAGAGACTGAAAGACCTGTAATGGGTGTGACAGACAAAGGAGTCATCAAAACATGCAGTGCTGGTGGTCCTGCAGGAACTAGGTTGAGAAACACTACCTTAGAATGTCCTGACTGACCAAATCAGAATCAAGTATTCAATAATGGCGTTTAAAGTCTAGTAATAAGTTTCCATGCTCCGTGGAATACAATAGGAGACAACTTCTCAAACCATAGAGAAGGAAATGCCTACCGAATACATGTCTGGTTGCCACATATATATATTGGAATCTCCATGACTTACATCCTTCTCGACTGACAAAGGCTCCTTGTGGAGCGTCAGGGATGCCCTTCCAGATGCCAATGGGTTTGGGATAGCCCGGGTCAGTGGTGCGCTTCTCCTCATTGTATCGCCAGTACTGGTCACCCTTGAAGAAGTAAGTTTTGCCCACGGATTCCCAGCGTAAGGCTGTGTCGATGCCATCGCTAGGCAAATAGCTGCCCAACTCCACCAGGCTGTGCGGGTAACCAGGCTCCGCCGTAACCTCCTTGAAGATCCAATATTTGTCCCCTAGAGTCAAAACAAGAGTGGTGTAAAGTAACGAATACTCCATAACTGAATAGTTTTTCTCAGGAATACTTTGCAAAGTAGTTTTAACTCTTGTGTATTGTTTAAATTGACTACCCTTTGGTTATGTTGGTGGCTTTTTTTGCCCCATTGACTTTCATTAAGATCACATTTTTTTATTGCAAAGCCACAACAACATATAATCATGCATTCTTGATTGTTGGTGATTTTCCTTATTAGGAACTTTTCATTTTTACTGTTGATCATCAGTTAACAGCATTACCGTTTAGATAGGCCTGTGCAAAAAAGCTTCCGACATTTAAATGGAGTTCTATTGAGTAAATTATAGTGTGTGTGTGTGTGTGTGTGTGTGTGCATGATTCCCAATTCTACCTCTTAGTCCTTCCCCTTACCCCTAGCTATCGTTTTACACGTTCCTGCGAAGGGATAGGGGTGTCCCAATTCTCTTTAGCTTAAAGGTGAAGGGCTAAGGGAAAGTGATATAGCACTTTGAACGTAGATTTTTCAGAACCACACTCGAAACCAAAGGGTAAGAAAATTTCTCAGAATACACCAGCTACAATGGCAGGATAGCTGCACCCGAATCAAGTTAGGAGGTATACATATTTGTATTTTTTTGTCATTATTACGAATTTTTACAACAAACAAGCACATGTTTTAATATATTCATAACCGCGTTTGTGTTTTACCGTCATGCTTTTAAAAAAAACCCACTAAAATAAAAACGCTAAATTTGGCTATCTATAATCCATAATCATAACTCCTGTACAGCAGTCCCACAACATTCTGACACTCGATGACACTCAAATACCCTGTCAGATAAGTCTAGTGGCTGGGAATGGGCTTTTTACAGTGTCTGCTACAATGTTAATGTTGTTTTTGGTGTGTTTACATGAATATGGCCACTGTGTAAATGCACAGTACAGTTATGATCTTATTGCCACATTACATTGCAATGATAACATAATACATGCCTTCAGTGATTTCCTGAAGTTAAATACCAAAAAATAACACAACTGGAAAAACTACAGCAGTCGCCATCATCTGAACTTATATGAAGCAAGAGATCGCGATGACATATGATGACGTGTGCAGGTGCTGTAGTGCTGTCCCATTTTTGGGGGGTAAATTTTGAAGCCATTCCCCTTCACACTCGGTTTTCAGGGCCAAGGGGAAGGGGTAGGGGTACAAAATAGAATTGGGATCTTCCCAACAGGGAGAACCAGCAACAATTAATAATGCATGATTATATGCTGTCAAGGTTTTGCACTCAAAAAAAGTCAATTGGGCAAAAACAGCCACTAACATAATGAAAGGGTAGTACATTTACCCAGATTTAAACAAAAATTTTAACGAATTTTCCCAAAATATGTGTCAAAATGAGATTTGTCACCAAAAAGCATTCACTTTGTGGAAACAGAGAGAAATCTGTGGCCAAATTAAGCCTCAAAATCAGCCCAGACAGGGATCGACAGTGCTACCATTTCGCTCGCATTTACAACTAAAAATAGATGTGTCCGAACTGGAAAATTTATTTAATCGTACATGTGCGATTTCGTTTTTTTAATAAGCTTGATTGATGACTTATTTCACTCGGTCACAGTAAAACAACATGCTCTTCACACAAAGTTATGGTGTATTACGTTGGAAATCTATTGTGACTGTAGCACACGCTGACCCGATCAACAACAGCACATGTCTACTGGTTTATTTACTTCACGTCAAGCGGTCTTTACATTGTTTTGAAACGGTTTTATTAACTTAACAATAACTCCCTATTTCTGTTGGCCTGTGTTGAATTTTTTTTTCAGCTCGAAACTGGATCAAAAAGTCAACAAGATGCTGCCTAGGCATGTCCACATCTGAAGACTTGATTCAGATCAGTTTAAAGAGGCCTTTAGTAGAGCAATTTGATCCCAGTCCTGCTGTGAACCGTTAGCTAAACTCCATGCAGTTTAAATTATAAATAGTTATTAAATCTTTACTATACTGTACTATTTCTCAATCAACCTACAGTCAATACTCCATTTTCTCTTGTTTTCGGTGATTGGCTAAGTAGAACAATCAATCCCGTGATTCTCGTCCAATCAAATTATGAATAGAAAAAATTGCATCTGACACACCGACTTCAGGACACGAACACTTTATAAATGTAGCAAACAGCCAAAGAAAATCACCAAATGGTCTTAAACAATCACTAAATGCGCTACAGAATGTTACGTTTTCAAACATATAAACAAATTGCATGTAGTGCTGCATGAGCTTGATTTGTGGCGCCACCTGCTGGACACTTGTATCTTGTTAGTCACGGTTAAAGTGCATTACATACAAGTTAATGTATCGTCACAGCTAGATTTTTGACCTGTCCAGCAATGTGTTTTTCCTGCAGAAACACCAGCTGAGTGTTTTACTATTGTTTTCAATAAAAGAAGCGCGTTTTTAAAATCATCGCTACATAACCTGGCGCTGAGCATAGGTTTTTCACTCACTCGGTGGACACACAGCCTAAGATTACACAGATTTTGCATGTAACCTGCTTTCTGTTGGCTTATTATAGATGCATATATTAATGTAATGTGTTCTCACGTTGAATTAACCTCACATTTTAAATTTATAGTCCATGAATGGCAAATTATTTAACTTGCACTCAAAAACACCCTTAACAGAAAATGACACTGATGTAAGCTACATTTTTAATTTGCAGGGTATATGGAGGAATCATTTTCAAAGAGTAATACTCACTACTCTTGATCAAGGATGATAACTATGAAGATATACGGCCCATTCATACACCGGGCACAATAAGGCACAAGACATTGGTTTTTTCAGTTTATTCATGACAATTTGCATTTGTATAATGATAATATTTTTAACAGTATTATTTATTATATGCATATTTATATTTGTTTTAATAAAAACGAGTTTAGATTCGTCCACTTATTTGAATATGGAGACGTATACGTCACCATAGTGTGTGTTTGGATAGAACTCAGTTTTTTGACCACACTTCGTTATTATTGTTCATTTATTCAATTGTTGGAAATTAGAACTGAAGTTAATATTAGTTTTGAAAAAATGTTTGCGCTTAACAAATGAAATTAAATATGTATAGGCTAATCGATGTCTTCGATGAGGTGCGTACCGATGGAAGCATATGAGTAGCACAATTCATTTTGAAATGTTATATGCAAAATGGCAATGTGATATGTTAAAGGACACTTTTCAAGCTGTTTGGACAGACATATGTGTAGGTATAGTGTTTAGAGCGTCATATTGGGCTAATATAAAGCCCTGTTTTTTAATTGAACAACATAAAAACTGACCAATTGGAGCAGTTTTCAGTGTTTGTGTATCTGTGTGCGTGCGAGAACTTTGTAACGACATTGTGTGTGACTTATCGTTGCAACTCCACAACAAATGCATCCAATACACATAGGTAAAGTTCTTACTGTAGTATTTCTCACAAATGTTATGTGAGATCTGCTTCCTTCATGTCTTTCTGTGGTCTGAAGCAGCAGAGGGAGGGGATTAAGGCATACTGACAGGCACGTGGAAATGATAGGTGTGAGGGACTAGCCTTAAAGGCGCAGTACAACAGAACCGCTACCTGATGGTTAGAGCTATAAAACAGAGACTTCTGAAAGGTATAATAAATAATCTGATGGGTGTTTTGAGCTGAAACTTAACAGACACATTCTGGAAACACACAAGACTTATATTAAATCTGGAAAAAGGGGTAACATAAGTGCCCTTTAAATGGAAATGTATTTCTTTATTTCAATTTACATTTTCCAAGACATATGTGCAATGGTAGGTGCAAAATGAAAATCAAATTATATCATTTGCATTTCTCATTTGATAACACAGTTTTAATAAATACATTGTATCCACATTGTACGCAATGCACGCACAGTATTGGCCGCCGTATTTGGGTGTGGCCAGCCCAGAATGCATTTTCAATTTTACATTGGCTTTCATTGGCCGTAATGTAATTGAAAATGAATTCTTTTTTTGTTTTCATTTTGCAGCAAACATTTTACACATGGTCTTGGAAAGTGCTAACTGAAATACAGAAATACACTGCCATTTAACACACTGCATTATTGCTGTGCATAATACATTTCAAAATGAATTTTGCTACAAACATCCCATGCTGTTATGCTGAAAATAACATTTAAAGTATCATTTTGCTTCAACTCCTGCTTCTACGTTACGCACATCAAATTAATTTTGTGTAATACAATTTTAGTATATTTTGCAACTTATAAAGCATTACAATGTGAATACAATAAACATATTAAACTGTGTTATCAAATGAGAAATGCAAATGATATAATTACATTTTCATTTTCAGTTTGCACCAACCATTGCACATATGTCTTGGAAAATGCGAATTGAAATAAAGAAATGCATTGCCATTTAACATATTGCATTGCCATTTTGCATATTACATTTCAAAATGAATTTTGCCACTATATGCTTCCATAGCGTACAACACCTTACTCCACGAAAGTAAAGAGTAAAAGTAAAGAGAAAGTAAAGAGGCCGAATGGAGGAGGCTTGTTCTTTATCCTCGTGCTGCAGATGGTCTATTTAACTGTTTTCTCACAAGTGAAGCGTTCAGTTTTTCCACTTACAGAGTCCGCCATGTAAATACCAAATGCGCCATGGAACGATGCAACTCACTTTTAAGGGGAATGTGAGATGAGACTGAGATTAGTTTAATGCACATTATGCTCAAAACACACCCATAACACCCTATTCAAACAGGGCTTCAGCGTTAACGCTTGACCGAAGGTGTTTCTGAAGTTGGGGCTGACGCAATCGTCATGGCAGCGTCCGCCAATGAAATTAGTCAGCAATCGGCAGGGCCAGACGGAATCTGCAGACGTTTTTTGCTATTTCTGTTGAGAATTTTGATAAAAATCAGCGGATTTCTGCTGAATTATTTTGGGAGTATTGAGTGGAGTGTAATAACTAAAACCTTAATATATGAAATAAAAAGTAATAAATTACTGAATAAAAACTGAATAAATTCAGATTTACACATTTACTCAATTAAATAAACAGAATTAATGATGGGCTAAAAATCTGCAGAAATCTGTGGAAAATATGCCGAATTCTGTGCGCGCAGATTCTGTGTGTGCCTAGCAATCGGCTACTGTCTGAGCTGGTGTATTTGCATACAGCGATCTGATTGGCTGACGCTTTCGTCAGCGCTTGAAAAGCTGAGCAAGTCCCAACTTCTGGAGCGAGCAACGCCAGTGAAGCTGCGCCAACGGATCCACAATGCAGTTCGGCAACGCCTGACGTCACCCATTCAAAGTGAATAGGAAGCGTTGAAGCTGACACCCCGTGTGAATGGGGCGTAACTCATTAAGAGAATAAGCGCAACCCCGTTAGACCATGCACCAGGGCGCAGAGCGTATTTTTCCGTCCTTAAAATAAAATAATAAGTGGATTCAGATACGCCCTTACTGCTTTTGCATCTATTTATTTAAATGCTTTACTGGCATGCACTAGTATCGACAGCTGTGCATTGAATACTGCATGCAGGACAGCCAAAAAAGAGTGTATTACACCCTCACAAAGCATATTTACTCAAAAAAAAAAAAGACAACTATTTCATTCAGACTGCAGTGTTACTTCAGCACAGCGATGCATTGTATATAGTTAATGAATAAGATGCAGAAATGCCAGCGCGAGCTGAGTTCATCAGCTCTTTATCTATTAATACTGAGGTGCAGTTTCTCTGAGATATAACCATGAGGCATCCCGCGTGCTTGTTTTCTCATGAAGCATCACAGAGCAGGAGACTGGAGCTATAAATATCTCTCCTCGCGCAGCAAAGACTGAGCCGGGCTAATTTAATGAGAAAGAGGAGGGCGGTGAGATCCAGAGAGAAGGAGGAACAGACAGAATAATAAAGTACCGAATGCACTGACTTCGGCTGTCAGGCCTCGATGGAGGATAAACACGGTGGAGAAATGCAGATTAATCCACACGTCTAACAGATATTTATCTACTCTTTAACTAAAACGGGACATAAAAATGGACTGATCTGAAAGCAGCCATCTGAGTTGAAACCGATCCAAAGGTAACAGATGTTTAATGGAGATGGCTTCGTTTTATAATCTAGGCCATATTCAGGTGCTTAAATTTAGGGGCTTTTAATTCAGGATGTATTTATAGTTATTAAAATGACTTTAGAGTTATTAAAACAAGCCCAAGGCTGCGTTTTTCATGATAAAGGGGACCTATTATGCAAAAATTATTTTAAACACAGTTGTGTGGCAACAATCTAGGAATATAACCAGCTTCTTATGGTAAATATTTATCAATTTCATTTTTTATAATCACATTCAATGAAAACAGTCTGCAGAAACACTTCGATTAACATTCTCCCTTTGTACGTGTCATCAGAGGGGTAAGCCCCACCCATTAGTGACCATCTCTCCCTCATTAGCATAGGACACTAGTCTTGTTTTTGAATCTGCCACTATGCTGACACACAGGCAGCACAATCTCATTTAAATGTAAAGGTGCCCTAGAATGAACATTTGGGTGTAACAAGGCATAGTAGAATAATCAATGATCAGTATATGGAAATGGGCATTCTGTGAGCCTCAGACACTGTTTCCTCGTTCTCATGTCCACGAGTGTAAAACCCCGGTGGACAACAGAAGACAAAACAAACAATGACGAAACTCACGGGCCATTCCCTCTGCAAATTTGCATGTATGCCTAATTTGGATCGTTCATCCATCGAGCAGCTGACGTCATTAAGCTCTAGGTTCATAAGAAAAGCTCTGAGATCATTAATATCCAGGCCTCATACTGCGTTTGATAAGCAACAACGTTTTCTAGTGAGACAACAGTGATAATTTCCCTCCCTTAGTTATTTTTAAGCATATATTTCATTTAATGTATATGTAGGACTTTTATTTTGAAAATGTGAGCGCAAAATTGTTTACTGTACGTTACTGGGTAACGACAGCACGAGACATGTTTAAAACTCATCTCAGGACACAAAATGCAAGATTTACAGATTATACATTTGTTCATCTCCACTTCTAAAGAGGCATAAGGTATGTTTAGTTACATATTTTGTTAATTTATCGTGTTTATTGTGAAATTTGATGCGCATGTTTCAACAAACAAATGCAGACTGATGAATCGTGTCAAATCACTGCTCAACTGTCATCTGTTCATGCAGAGGTTGATATTATTCCTGACTGTTTTCTTTGACGGTAGTTTCGAAATACAACACCATACATCTCCATCACTCTCCTTTGTCAAGATTAATTATAATTTAGCATTTATCCACAACAGATCTGATGAGCAAAATAGGTTAACGTTACTCGGATTAGGTTTATATTTGTCAGCGTACATTATACTATGTGTGTGTGTGTGTGTCTGTCAGAGCAGCACATCAGAGCTGAGCTCATTAATATTCATGACACGTCAATCATGGACCTTCTGATTCTATAGATATTTTATGGAGTAATAAATGAGCTTATAAAACCCTTTCTGGTTTTATTTTAATAAAGCCATAAATCTACTGTGTAGATATCAGAGAACAATTTAACTTATTAAACCAATGCAGTATATGGCACGTTTAAAGCGACAGTCACCATCTAATACTCATAAAGTTCCAGCGGCAACTAGTACACTTCGGCTAATATAGTTTATTCAATTCACCTACAGCACATGTCTTTGGACTGTGGAGAAAGCCCACACCAACATGGAGAAAACATGCAAACTCCACACAGAAATGTCAACTGGCCCGGCAGGGGCTCAAACTAGCGTCCTTCTTGCTGTGAGGCGACAGTGCTAACCACTGAGCCACCGAACCGCCTAACAAATCTGTAATAATCTCATCTTTATGTAATGCAGATACATTGTGCACAACTACTTTTGACACAACTTATTACAGTTAACTAAAACTAAAACCATAAAACATTTTTGGTAATAGACATAAAATAAACATCACCTGAAATGAAACAAAATATCTTAAAAAATAAAGTGTTTATTATTTCAGCTAGTTACCAAGACGATATTGCCAATTTTCCCACTAAAGTGAAAATAAATCAAATCCATTTAGACAAAAATTTAGACACTAGGGACATCAGAGACTGTTGTAAAGAGTGGCATAATAGGTCCCCTTTAAGCAAGAATATCGTAGTCGTTTTTGTATTTTCTTTTTAATATTTATAATTAATGACATGTTTTTTTATGTGGATGATGAATGTTACCTTTGAAGAACACAAATTTTCCATCTGATCTCTCGTAAGCAGCGTCGATGCGATGAGGTAGACCCTTCCAGAAGTGGTCTATCAACATAGGATAACCTTCTTGAACTTTGTTGTTGCGCAAACGCCAGAACCAGCGATCCTGTGATGAGTACAAGACATTATTTAGCTCCAACATTTATTATTGAGTGAAATAAGCAAAATGTGTCCAGTATGGCCCATTTTAAAAACGTACCCCTACATACATTTCTGGAGAACACCGAATATGTCCCAGGCGGTACGTTTTTTTAGCAGTTTTTGTTTTTTTGAATCCACCAGAGGCCGCTGTGTATACTTTTTGAGATCTCAAATTTCCTTGTAAGTGCCTTGCTGTTCTCGCTTGCTGTTCTCGTGTAAATCCACCAGAGGCCACTGTCAACTGACTGACTGACTGACCGATCGTCTGACCCACCCTCCTCCTTCACTAAACCCAACCAATATTGTTTTCTAAAGCACTGATTGAACCGCCCACGCACTTCCCTAAACCCAACAGTTTTAAAAAGCAATTTAGAAAAAGAAAAGCCCTCACTTGATTTTTTCCATGTTTTCAGATTTGACCACATCCTCACCCTGTTATCTTGTTTATTTTATTTTTTTGGATTCTGTTTTTGTCTTACTCGCTTTCTGGAATCGTTTTTTCACCGGACTCAAACTCCATTGTCGTGGTCTCTGCATTTCAAGTGTATCTCAACATGGCAAGCTAACTGGACAAACTAAAAAAGTTTCACAAGAATGTAAGGGGTCAGCTGTTAAGCGTGAAAAAGAACGGCGTCATACCTCCCAGTAGCGCTTGTTAAGTACTTCTGGCTACTTAATTCACGATCTCCAGAAATGTATATAGGGCTATGTTTTCAGAATGAGCCTATGTTGCATAAATAGGTCACACTGTACAAGAGGGTCCCATTAGTTCATCAGTATTTATTAACATGGACTGATAATGGAAATATTCTACTAAAGCATTTATTAATCATAGTCCAGCATTTAATAATGCATTATTAAAATCTTTAGCAAGAACTAACAATGAGCAACTTTTTGATTATCATTAACTAATGTTAACACAGATGAATATTTTATGTAATAAAGATATTGCTTATTGTTCGTTCATGTCAGTAAATATACATTAACTAATGGAAACTTACTGTAAGGTAAATACATGGAAAATGTTATTGTTAGGCATCATAAGTGATATTAGGCATCATAATATTATAATATACAGTGTTTAAAAATGGATACATACAAATAATAATAATAATAATAATAAGTTATTAAATGATAGAAGGTGAGATGAGCCTGCACAATTAAATATTGGCTGATATTTATTCTGAATTACCTGAAATTAATAAGTAAAAAAGATAATATCTCTAATAACAAATCTGTCATTCATTCATTCATTTATTCCTGTGGGTTGGCACAGGGTAATGAAATGCCAACTTAACCAGCATATGTTTAACACAGTTCATTTGTGGTGAGAATATGATCCGAACTAAAACAGACCCCATCGCAAAAGGTACTGCGCCTTTTTGGGCTAATCCAGCTGCTGTAGTCCATTGTGCTGTGGATTATGGAATGTGGAGGGAATATTATATATTAAACATTTGTTGACAGTGCTTAACCAACAGTTTTAAACAGAGAGAGAGAGGGAAAAACAGCTGCTGAAGTGACTTGCGATGTGCATTCACAGTTTGCAATGCATTAATGCATTGTTTTCCAGCCGCGTTTCATTCTCGAAATGTATAGTTTGTCTAAAGTGATGTATAAAGATTATGTAGTATACTATGAGCAGGGAAACAATCAGCCAGCGCAGACGTAGCTCATAGTAAAAAGTGATATTTTGCTGGTTTGTTTACTTGCGGGAGTTCATTGGCATTTTCTGACCAATCGAAAAGCAGTTTAAGCAATCAGTGTGGTGTGAACAGGACCCAAAGACGGTAGAAACTGAACTAAAGATGTGAAAGCACCCTTAGGTAGCGTTCAGAAGTGTTATTGCAGAGCAACACAAACAGCATGTAGATGTATACATGCATGGCTACGTGCAAGTTATGCACCGTGGGTCACGCCAATCATTCAAAGTAGAAGAATAAATCAGACCTTACTGTATTTTAGTGATTATAATACCAAATATTATTATTATTTGATCAAGCTCTGCAATTATTGGAAAGAGAATTGATTGAATTGATTGAGAATTGATTGACTCACCTTAAAAACAAACATCTCCCGCCGAAAGAAGGCCACAGTGTTGAAGTTGCCATCGCAGATGTTGGGTTTTCCATGTCCCGGAGAGGATGGCCGATCTCCAGCAGACGGGCGCCCGGGCCGAGACTGACGCTCGTGTTTGCGCTCGGAGGTGGAGTGTGGGCGGCGTGCGGGGAATGTAGGAAGAGGACGCGTGGGCTCCAGCATGGCTGTCGGTATACCTGAACAACAACACTTTTTAATGCACCATTCATTTTTAATTAAGCATCTTTGTACTTACACTTAATATTTACATTTTTAGAGTATTTTTTTAAATGACTGTTTTAAATGGTCATGTTCAAATAACTTTGATAACATTTGTTTAATTCAACACCAAATTCTTCTGAGAAATGCATCAAATGTGCATTATTTGTCAGTGTTAGAGTGCAAGATTTAAATGTTTAAATTCTCAGTTTTTCGTTCTGTTTTTGCAAACAAACTAATTTTTTATATTTTTGATAAACACATTTTATTTCAAATTTGATTCAAACACTTTCAAGGACTCGTGTTTGTTTTTAAATACTTTCCAGGCCTTGAACCCATATGACTGAAATTCAAGCACTTTTAAGTACTTTCAAGAAGCGTGGCCCTGAACAACAGCTTCTGCGTTTACATTTAAGCATTTTTCACATGTGTAACGGTGGCAATGTACAAAGTCATTATTTTTTGTAAACAACGAAGAAAAATAAAATAAATACAAAAAAAATTCCCAGAACAACTGTAGCTTCCTGGACTGAATTTGAGTCTGCTTTTCTCTCTGCCTTCCTCTCTGAGGATTATGAAGATGAGTTGGCTGATAGGGTTAGGACAAGAACCTGATATATGCAGTTCCTGATTTAAATGTTAACACTCTTATTAAAGAAATTAGTTTCTTTACTTAAAAAAGTGAGTAAACCTCCTGCCTTAAAAAGCTACAAGTTGACTTTCCTTAAATAAAGGTGAGTATACATGTTGTTACTTTGAACTATTAAAGAATCACTCCACTTTTGTTGCAAATAGGTCCATTTTACAGGTCATCTACAGTTTAACAGTTGAGTTTTACCATTTTTAAATCCAATCAGCCGATCTCCAGGTCTGGTAGGAGCACTATTAGCTTAGCATAGATCATTAAATCAGATCAGACCATTAACAACTAGCTCAAAAAACTCAAAAAGGATTTTTAATAATTTCTTTGGTTACATCATGCACTAAGACCAACAATAAATGAAAAGTTGCTATTTTCTATATAGCTAGGAACAATACTCTCTTTATTATATTACACTGTGCTAATTCCTAGTTACACCTAGCTGGGGACTATTTTCAGGTGCTGTGTAATATCATTGTGCCTGCTACAGCCATGGTAAGACAACAAGTTCATTGAGAGTAGTTCCTAGTAGAGATCTGCGCGGGACTAAATTTTTAATCCTGCTCCCGCCAGGTTTTAGTCTGAACCCAACCGCTCCTACATATATTTAGCATTTGTTGTCCCGCGGCTCGTTTTCTAACCACCGCGCTCGTTTCCGCTAATGCATACGCATGCCCCCTTGATATTGTTAGACTGCCCGCTCCCGTTCAAATTTCACCAATCACCGACCGCTCTCGCGCTTTATTCTGAAATTTTTTCTCGCGCCGCAAGAAATCTGGTTGGGTCCCGCGGTACAGTCACAGGATGAAGACCTCTAGTTCCTGGTCAAGTCAGCCTAGAAAACAGCAACATATATAACAGTAATTTCCCATCTGTCTTAGTACATGATGTACAGGAGAGTCAAGCTTTAAATAGTTTAATTCCTGTCAAATATTTGACTGAGATGCTAATGGTCTAATCCAATTCAATAATCTATGTTAAGCTAAGCTAAAAATGCTTTCGCCAGACCCAGAGATTTGCAGAATTGATTTTAAAATGGTAAAACTCAACAGTTTAACTGTAAGTGACTTGTAAAATAAGCCTATTTCTAAAAAAGTTCTATTAAGTTGGTAACTCATTTGCAACTAGTGTACTCACATTTTAAGAGAAGTCAATTGCTTTAAAAGCAATGGATGTAGTCACTTCTTCAACTTTGGGACTTGTGGAGCTGCGCATCGATGGATTTGCTCTTCAGCGTTTAGACTTTCAGCAGTGAAAATTAAATCACATTGAACTGAACTAAATTGAACTTCAACTCTGAAAACTGGACGGGCACAGTATCAATTTACTAGAACTTCTATGTTAAGCTGCTTTGAGACAATCCTCATTGTCACTTTGTACATTGCAGAGATCATGACTGTACCGTATATTTTCTGGATCCCCTGAAGGTCGTCTAGAGGCAGTTTGAAGTTGTGTGTCTCCATGTATTGGTAGAAGGGGGCCATGATTGCACTGGGGTCACTCGAATGCTCCAGACCCAATGCATGTCCCAGTTCATGAACAGCCACCAGGAACAGGTCATTGCCTGAAAAATAAAGGTTAACCGTCAAATTTATCTTTCACTAATCAGAATTTGTGCTCCCACATAGAAGGTAAACAGCAAAATAGTGAGCACAACCTGTCATGATCATCCATTTATCACTGCAGGGATGCAAACTTTTAGCAATCGCCATTTTATATATACATATATATATATATATATATATATTTATGTCTCTGGTTCTTGAATCTGACTGACTGATAGCCGTGCAATATTCTGCGAATAACAGCACTCATCCAGCCTCTTCAGTAATACTCCGCCCACATCCAGTTTGACAAATATTGCTGCTGTTGGACAACATAATGTACTTTTGAGCCTATTTTAGTTGAGAATGTAGTTGTTTAGTTTGCAACTATGCAATGTATTTATAAAGATAGTGCCTATTTTAAAATATTTATAATTTCTGAGATACGTCGGCGATAATATTCATCCACAAAATGGTGACAGAGACCGCATAATAAGCCCTAAGAGAAAACAGCGTAATTTCTAACTACACAGGGTATATGCAGGAATCTTAAAGGAAATTTCAATACCCTTTTAAGATTTTTTAAAGAGCTTCTCAGAACATTTTAAGGCCTCTTCGCCACTCAAGTTCTAATCAGTATCAAACCTTTAACATAATAAACAGTTGTTAATAAATAGTTGTAGTTAAATAAATCAATGAAGCACAACCGTGCAACAGAACTCAGATAAGCGTAGAAAAAACAAAGCTTGAAAGAATAAATTATGTGGTTGTTTTTAGAGCCAGGCTTCAGTCACTGTTGAAACTCGTCTTTCTCCAACCAGGGGTACGCAAACTTACATTTCTCCATTTTGCTGTCTGTTTCGCTCATTGGTTTCGCTACTTGTTGAGAGCATCACATCACCTTCCCACGTTTTTTGCGAGACGGAGGAGCTTGGCCGGATGCGCCCTGGCCCAAACCAATAGGGTATATGCCGAAGCATGCTAATAAGACTTTGAATTTGCCAGTAACCTGGGTTAAGCGCTTCCGGTCACCTGTATGCCAATGCAAAATTGCCACATTTAAGATCAGTTTTCTTTAAAAATCAATCTCCACTGGCTGAGTGATATCTGATGTAAAGTGGGTCTCAGATTGTACAAGAAGCACTGCATTAAATTACATTTCCCCCGCCATGTCTTTATAATATGAGCGTTTATTTTACCCCAGTATATTTAATGGAGCTTCCGCACTATCCTGCCGATTCTGACGGGCGTGTGCGAGTAAACGACTTTTTGTCTCGTTTTACGCTTAAGCAACTAAATGAATGCCAACGTTTATTTAACTGAATGTATTTTAATTACATTACAAGATTGATGCTGTAAAAGGAACCGTATAAATTGGAAAAAAAATCACAATAACAGGTCACGGGAAGTTTATCAGTATGGGAAAAACACTAGCTAGGCATATACCCTATTGCGTGGATTGAGGAAAATAAATATATTTATGCTTTTTTTGAGTCAAACACTTAGGACAACACTTGAACAAAATTTAAGACGCAATAAAAACGCAATTAAGAATTTTTTAATACCTTTTAGGGGCCTTAATTTTCTCATATCAAATGTATATCAACTTTTAATACTTTTTTAGACCCCGGGGACACCCTGCTACAGCTGGTCAAATCCTTATTAAACAGGTAAATGACATTCTATGTGATTTATCCCTCTCTTGTATGTTGCAGTGCTGTATTTATGCCATATAGTTGTAGTATATTGAGTGTGAGAATGAGTCTCATGTTTTTGTTACTGCAGACTAGTCCGGTAAAAAGAAAGAAAGGAGAAACTCCCCATGTGTTTAGCATTTTTCCTTATCGCAAACACAACAGTAATGGTAGTGGTAGTGTTGGTGCTGCTTTGTGATTAATCATTAATGCTTTGTGATTAATGTGATCTCATGATTTCAACAGAGAAATACAGGGAGATAACTATGTAGACTGTAGCCATTTCATGCTGTTCAGCCCTATAATCTTAAAATGTGAGCAAAATCACCTGTTTTGTCAACACTTTAGACATTATGCTAGAGAATCATTCCAACACTAGCTATAAAGTGACGTTGGTGAATTAGTTACGGCTTCTGCTGTTCTGATGGTCAGCTGCAGGTGTGAATGAATGGCGGAAGAAAGTAGTTCCTCATACAAAAGAGTTTTGAGACTCTCCATGTTTCATTTTCTATTTTATATACACGATTATGCCGTCAAACTGTTATATAAATGCAATATTACACTCGTTTTTAAAGAAGTTTATGCATATGTTTACTATAAAATATTCAGTAATTTCTATAATGCGACTTTACAATACAGTAACATCCTGCATGATTGTCCTACAGTTCATATTACAGTTAAATACTGTGTATTTATACAATTCTTTATGCAAGTTATCTATTAAAAGGCTTGACAGCTTTTGTCTAATCCACTGAACAGTATTTAGTTCTGTGTTCTTTTTAAAATATATATAATTTACATTTTATTCTGTGCTTCAGAATATATGCAACTCACAAAAAGAAAATGAAACAGTTATCTTGAAAGTTTGAAAACTCTAGGTAGTTCTCTATTTGATCTCCACCATATTAAGCATAAGCAGGTGAATTACCAACGCTAAGGCTCTGCATATTTGATGTATGAAGGTGCATGTTGTTAAAATCAGTCCCAAAATAATGAGCTCCCCCATAGAAATGCATCAAACGCTGAATCAGCAGCGTATAAATGTGTCCGTCCTATCATTAGAGGAATAGTTCACACATAGTTCAGCACACTTGGGATGTATAACAAGTAATGTGATACTTTTATGGTGCTTTGTCTCTGCTGGAGCTTGAGAGCATCCATCCCCCATTCGCTTTCCCTGTTAGCTCTAATGCACCAGGGAAATTTTATATGCATATGTGTATTACGCCGAAATTCAATGTCAGTTTCTGTATAAGGTATGAAAACCAAGTATGCTGTCCTTAATAACAAGGTGTAATCTATTTTGTTATAATTTTTAGCAAGGAATGAATGGTTAAATGCGAGTTGTACAGTTGCACGGTGGTTCTGTGGTTAGCACTGTTGCCTCACAGCAAGAAGGTCACTGGTTTGAGTCCCGGCTGGGCAAGTTGACATTTCTGTGTGGAGTTTGCATGTTCTCCCCGTGTTGGCGTGGGTTTCGTCTGATTTCCCCCACAGTCCAAACACATGCGCAATAGGGAAATTGGAGGAACTAAATTGGGTGAAGTGTATGAGTGTGTAAAGTGTATGGGTGTTTCCCAGTACTGGGTTGCGGATGGAAGCGCATCCGCTGTGTAAAACATATGCTGGAATAGTTGGAGGTTCATTCCACTGTGGTGACCCCTGATAAATCAGAGACTAAGCCGAAGGATGGATGAATGAATTAAAATCTAGTACTCATGATGTGACACATATATAGTTTGTTATCATAAAAAAAGTGGATCCACTTTAGTCCTGGAACATTACCACTTAAATTGCCAAAATTTCACCAGCAAGTATTATCGACTTGGAAAATTTGTTTTCAGCACAACTTTTCTCCTCATAAAATCCTATTATGGAATAATTATCTCATTATCTGTAAAAACAAATCTTTATTTTTGCATAAATGGTTTCAAAGAAACATATTTTGTTACAGATTTGTTCACTAATAATGGAAACATACTATATTATGAAGATTTTATGAGGATACATAACTTTCCAATTCCTTTTAAAGAATTTCACCAAGTGGTTAAGGCTATTCCAGCTGGTTTCATACAACTAATTAATAATCACCTTTCTTATGAATGCATTAAAAAGATACTCACAGAATTGAAAATTGATAGTTTTGACATACTTTCTCCATCATATAATAATAAAAAAATTAGACAATTGTTTCAATCTAAACACAAAATACCCCCTAGAGCAGGGGTCACCAACCTTTTGGAAACTAAGAGCTACGTCTTGGGTATTGTTTAATGTGAAGGGCTACCAGTTTGATACTCACTTCCTAATAACAAATTTGCTCAATTTACTTTTAATTATATGTTATTAATAGTTAATGATATTCATCTATGTGAAGACGCTGATCTTGTTAATTTCTCACAATAGTTGTCAACAATGATTGGAAACAGATAAATACCAACCAATGCAAGTGTGATTTAAAAGGAATTGCTACAAAAATATTAGATGCAGCTTACTGGTATGTGGTGCTATGGTAAGCTAATTTTATAAGAGGCCCACGGGCAACTCATGTAGTCCTCGCGGGCTACCTGGTGCTCGCGGGCACCATGTTGGTGACCCCTTCCCTAGAGGGAAATTTTATTGGAAAGAAAATTTTTTTGATATTAATTGGAAAGCTACCTGGTCAATCCCCTTTAAATTTTGCCTTTTAAATAATGTTAAAGAAGTGCACTTTAAAATACTGCACAAAATTTATCCTTGCAAAGTAACTTTAACTGAATTCATGGATATTGATAATACTTGCACATTTTGTAATATACACGAGGTAAACTTATCTCATCTTTTCTATAACTGTGATGTCTCTCTTAAGTTTTGGAATGATGTTAGTGACGTGTTATTTGGGCAAAGAAATGTTAATTACAGGCTCTCTTTAAAAGATGTCATTTGCACTTTTTCACACACAAAAAGAACATTTGAGTATGTTGCTAACTTCTACATCTTACAAGGTAAATATTTTGTTCATAAACAGAAATTTGCAAAATGTATACCAAAGGGCAATATCTTTTTATTAAAAATGGAAATTTTGAAAAAGTTTCTAATGCAAATTAAAAACAAAACGAGTGATTTAATTTTAGATTACATGAAGGAACTTTTCTCTGGTACTGCTCCCTCGCTGTAGTCAATGATTGTATCCTAAGTTATCATTTTTGTTTACATGTATATAAGTATTCTGTAATACTTTTTTTCTCCCCCACACCTGTAATGTTTTTGCTTCATTATCATTTATGATTGTGTTTTTGCAATTCCTGTAATGTTCCTGGATATGGCATATATCTGAATTTTGTATT